GATAACTAGTTTTAACCAGTTTTTGACTAAATCAACTTTTTTATTTTGCTGTAACTTCAAAATTCAAAACACTTAAATATTTGATTATAATATTGTGAATAAAGTTATTAATATATTATATCCTATTTAAGTGGAATCATGTTTTAAATTTTTAATCCTTAGCTATAAAAGTTGAACATTACATACATTTTTAACTAAACTACGAGATATTTTTAATTGTAAATTTGATTTATTTTGTCAATATTTGAACTTTATATGATTATAAAAAAATATTGTGACTTTGTATTTTTAATATTTTTCATCTGCCTTTGAAACAATATATAAGAGCCTTCTATTAAATATTCAAGCTTTTTACCCAACAAATAAAATTTTATTGATATTTATAGAAAAAAAAAAACTAAAATACCTAATTGGAAACTAAAAATGTTTGTAAACAGCTCAAAATAAGTCAAAATATGTTTAAAATGTTATGGTGTATAGAAAATGATACACACACATCATTGTAAAATCAATACATTCATTAATCCGCTCAGAATCTAAAATTGTAAGAAAAAAATAAGATTTTTCTATTATATACGCATATTTAGTACCTATTAAGTGCATTAAGTTCCGAGGCCAATACTTATAAATTATATAATAATGTACCTACCTATATTATAAAAGTGATACTAATAAATTATATTTAATTAAATATCAAAAGCCCGGATCTATTTCTATAAAGAAATTTAAATATTTTTTTATTATAATATATTTACTACTTAAAAAATTGTCACCTATTTTTTTTTTTTAATAATAATAGGTGAAATTTCTAAATCTAAATGGAAGAATAGTAAAGACACTTTTAGAAGAGAATTACAGAAAGAACCGATAAATCGTTCCGGGGCCAAAGGTGATGACAACTTCGAATGGAAATCGAAGTGGCCTTTTTTCAAAATGATGTTATTCTGCAGAGATGTTTTGTTACCAAGTCCTACATCGGGAAATCTACCAGATCTAGATAATGATTTAGAAAATGACACACAACAAAATACAAGTTGTACAAGTTGGGCCGACGATACTGATGTTGAAGTTGATGTGAACTCGGAACACGCTGTATACTCTGAAAGATCACCAACTACCTTGGACAATGAACATTTAGCTAATAATATTTTGAAAAAGAAAATGAAAAAATCTCGTAAAATCGACGAATCGAATATAGACTCGTTTTTGGCTTTGGAACAAAAAAAAATTAAAATTTTGGAAAATGCACAAAAAAATGAAAATCAATTTAACAATGATCCAGACTACCATTTTTTGATAAGTTTACTTCCATCTTTAAAGGATTTGAATGCTCTAGAAAAATTAGAAGTAAGGAATAATATTCAAAGCGTAGTAATTGACGCACATCGGCGAAAACTTATGTCTTCTAATTCAGTTCCAAGTACCATTTTTACAAATAATATACCAGTTGAAAGTCAAAATTATCTTCCACCTATGACATTGACTTCTCAAGAAAGATCACATCATATGAGTAATGACTACCATATTCCTATGCCTTTGATAACACAAGGAAATCAATGCAAAAGTTATAATATTCAAACTTCTACATTATCAAGCTCACAAGACATGCAACGTGAAAATCAAGACTTCCAACTGACTTCCAATCATATTCAACGCTACTAATTTTGAACCAAAGACTTATTTTATATTATTATAATTAGTTTATTATTATTTTTAAGTATTTCCTGACCATAAGTTCTGGTTTAGTTTTTATTTAGTTTATTTAAAACATTTTATGATGTTCAGTTTTATTTACAGGTATTATGTATACATAATTTTACCTATTCTAAAATGATAAATGGAGTTTGTTTTTTAAGTAAAAGGTTAATTAATATAAAATATAGTGTTTATTATTTACTTTCAGAGCCGGTTTGAGTAAACTATTTTTGGTGCACTGCACCACCAATATATTAGTGGTGGGTGGTTAATCTTGGTTGAGCATATGCTGATTGATTTATTTGTATGTTAATGTTGAACTAAAAACTATTAACTATTGTAATTGGATCATAAGATCTGTTGAAATGTAAATAAATAAAAATTAAATATATAAATATAGTGTATCTTTGAATATTTAAAACATAAATAAATATTCATCAAACTTAAAAATGAAAGCCTGCAATAAAAAACATTTTTTTTAAAATCAAATGTTCAATATAAATAAAAGAGTAAGTACATACTTTTTATTTTTATTTCGTTCATGTTTAAATAAAATGTATATGTATTAGTAAAAATTTAAGTACAAAAATTATTACAGAATCATTGTGTACAGTTAATATGAAAAGTGTAAACAACTTAACAGAAGGTACTAAACAATTACGTGGGTAGGTATATGAAAAAAATTTTAAAAAAAACCTTACCACCATATATATTACATTCAAACCGAATCTGTTTAGTATTTACTATTTACTACTTTAGAAAGCAATCATGGAGCCATGGAGGTACTTTTAGCCCAGTGGCGTACGCAGGGTAGGTGTCTGGGAGATATCACCTCCCTTAGGAAGTTTAAGCTTTAAAGTATCTTATTAAATTATGAAACGATAACTAAAAAAAAAGGTCATCAATTCATGCATATTATGACCCCCCCCCCCCTTGAAATATTCTGCGTACGCCTACCTATAGTATGCACTATACATTAATAACTAATTTAGTCACTTACCTTAATGTGACATATGTTCGTTCTGTTGCCGATATTGGTTCTTTAAAATTGGTCTTTTTTTTTGAAATTCGACCCTTAATTCTATTCACCAGAAAATCAAAAGTTGCGATAGACATTCTTAAAAATTTAAAAAAACGGTCTGGATGCTCACGTAAGTTTTTGTACACGTGGTGAAATTCACCAAACTTTGAACGACACTTATTCATATTATGAACAGCTTGCCTTTTCTTTTTTTTCAAAAAATAATGTCTTAACACAGGGTTTTCTAAAAGTATGTGCAGCTGAACTGCACTTGTTGGCGACATATTGGCAAATGAGAAATTTATTGTGTTTCATAAAATATTTAACATCGCTATAGCGAATCGCTAATAGATGTAAACACCTTTATCGCTCATCGCTCATCGCTGTCGCCCGTCGCTCGCCAATGTGAACCCGACCTTATGCGAAGAAAATATTTTGTTTGAATATCAATGCTATAACTGATTATTACGAAATATTAATAGGTAATAAGAATATTATTCTATTTATATTCTATAATATCATTACTATACTCATTGATTCAAAATTAAAATACAAATATCACAATTGTTTTCAATAGATCAATACTCTTCTTTTAATATCCATTTAAAATAATATTTTGTTCAAGTATCATAAGCGAAAATCACATAACAAGAGATTTATCATACTGTAATATAGTGTGTTGTTATTGTAAATTTCAATTAAATATTAATATAATCGAATAATGATCTCAACCATATGTTGTATGCAAAAGTAGGTATAACATATTAAAGTTAGCAACACGAAATTGGTTCTGCTGAACGTAATTTTTCTATATTGTATGTACCTACAATAATTATACAAACCGGAGATATTTTAGGGCTTTAGGCTCAGCCCTTAATAGTAAATAGATAGAAAAAATCGGGAATGCAGTTATTAGGTAAAGAAAAATAAATTTTCAAAAACCGTTACAAAATCCGAAACCGAAAATTTTTAAAAACCGTATTTGATACCGATAAATTTGAAAAACCTTTTTTTGAAACCAAAACCAAAAAAATTTAAAAAGATCTTAGAACCTAAACCAAAACCATCGAATGTAGAAAACCGTTCTCAAAAACCGAAACCGTAACCGTTAAAATTTGAAACGGTTTCGATCCCTGGAATAAAGTAATTTATATATTTACGTAAGTAGTTCATTCTGTTACCAAAAAATCTAAAAAATACATAAGCACAGTTCATTTTAAAATTTATTTTAAGTTCAAATTTCGACGAAATTTCATAAAAGAAAATCTAGAATAACTATTTTAGTTATTTTTTTGTGATTGTATAATATTATTCGTGGGTACTTGAAACTTTTAAAGTACACTATTATATATCTATGATAGTATCACGGTTTTTGTTGATGTATAACGCGTTATAAGTAGGTACCTAATGGATATTGTGATATGATTAATTTGGAATTTATTATAGGTACTTATTATAAGTCAATTTTTTGTTTAATATCATAGATATGTATATAATATGTCTTATACCTAGACTGACATACCGTCTCCGCTCAGAATCGTTTTTCTTATACAATGATATTATATCATTGAATTCAAATTTAATACCATCCATTATGCAGTGTCCCACTTGTAACCTACAGTACAGCAGAGCACCTTTTTTTTTTAAATGCAAGCCCTATTTTTTAATATAGATCTTTACTCTTTATATTGTATACACCTAGTGATGGGCAAATCAAGACCAAGACCAAGACTATGGCAACCTTGGTCTTACAAAGCAATTCGTAGTCTTGGTCTTGGTTTTCGTCTTGCAGCAAGATCAAGATCAAAAGTGCAAGACCAAGACAATTTTGCCCATGACTACATACACCCAATTAGCACTGGAGGACTAAATGATATAAGAGAATTTTTTAAAAAATTGTCTATCAAAATAAATATATTTCTAATTAAATGTATAGTTTATATACACCAAATGTTTATTTTATCATTTTCTATAATAGTAGGGTTTCAAGTATATGTATTTAAAGACTGTACTTAATGTAATTTATAGAAACAAGTTGGCAGAAAACAAATATTGATAAAGAAGTACTTCAAGATGTCTTATACAAATATGGTAATACACTTTTCACTGGTAACAAATTAAATTTTAAAAGTCCATCCTGGAATGATATTGAAAAAGATATGGGATATATAATGAAACCCAAAAGTATTTATTTACGGTTAGTCAGGACCGCTTCAACTTGCTGACTAACCTAAGAACCAGATTGGGTATTATAGTACCTCCAGATAGTCAAAGTAAAATATCGATGTCTAGTTGTACTGAAGAGTCGGATGAAGAAATGGATTTTGTTTTCGATGATGATAAAAGTCTTACAACTTTTCATATTAATATACCATATCATGTGTATCAAAAAATGAAACCAATCCAAGTTGAATATGGAAACGGAAGAAATACAAGAAAATATTCAGTTTTAAAACCAGGCGTTTGGTCGAATATAATATTTGATGAATTTGTAAAAATACATAAGTTGCCTTGTTGTTACATTTTTAAAAGGTGTAAAGTATATATCAGTGAATCTGCTCAACATTTTTTAGTTTTTAACGCTACATGTAAAGATGAAAAATGTTATGCTAAACTTAAAGGTATAGCTGTTAAGCGCCCTCTCGAAGATCAACCTTTAAAACTGATTATAAAAACTAAGGATACTAGAGGAGTAATACATAATATACATTTAAAAAGAAACTTAAATGGAGAAAAAAGATATAGTGTAGGAGAAAATCTCCAGCACTTGCGTGCAAATACTTGGAGAAAAGATCAAATAAGAAAAAAATGTGACTTTGGAGATATAATTCCACCAAACATTTATCAGACAAATGTATTAAGAAAGGCTAAACAAGAATTCCGAGATCAAAAATTAGGAATTGTAATTAAAAATCCAATTTTGTCATTAGTGTAGATGAAGCATACAATTCCTTATGCCGGATCAATTCATACCATAAGTATTGATCCAGTAATCGTTCATTATTGGTCTCCATATCAGATGGTTGTTTATAAAGAATCAAAAGCAAATTCATTGCGTAATTGTAGGCTATGTATTGACGCAAATAGAAGTGTTGTAAAGAATGTGTATAGAACCTCACAGGAATTGCAATCATCACATATTTTTTTATATGTCGCAGTTCTGAACGACGGATGTATTCAGGTACCAATATGTCAAATGCTCTCAGAGGTACAAGACTTAGCAACCATAACTTATTTTTTAAGTCAATGGATAAGAGCTGGTGCTACTTCACCATATGAAGTTGTGGTTGATTATTCTAATGCACTTATAGGAGCTGTTATACGTACTTTCTGCTATGGTTTGTCTAAGATTCAATACTGTGAAATAAGTTTGAAGATTCTTCAAGATGAAGATGGTACTGTACCAACTCCCGGACTAGATATTTATGTGCGTTTGGATATTGCCCATTTAATTAAGATGATCTGTAGGTGGAAGTGTTTTAAGGTAAGAAATCACGGTAAAATTAAAGAATTTTACGTTAGAGCGATAGTTCTCCTAATAAAATCAAAAACACTTGATCAATTCAAAACAATTTTAACTGAGATTTTAGTCGTTGCATCTTCAGAATATGATGGTAATATAGAAGGTACAAAATATTACACTTCGTCAGAAAAATGCAGGGAAAATATTTTGAAACAAATCGAAAACGATGGTTTCATAGAAAATATAATTTCAGATGACAAAGAATTGTTAGAAGAAAATGAAGACATTGAATATAATATTCAAAGTTCAAGCAATATTTCAAATAATATGGATACATTCATTAAAAGTATTAAAGAACGTGTAGTAGTTCTTTCAAATATACAAGGTGATCGTTTGAATGGATACTTTTTACCTGATTTATGTGCTTCTCTTCTTCGTATTACGAAAGATTTTCCACTTTGGACAAACATAATGGCTAGATACTACAAATCAGAATATGAAACGGCAACTTCAGCACCAGTCGAAGGATATTTTTCTCATGCTAAAAATGAATTGAGACAATCACTTAGTAGCATAGACCGTTTTGTTGGATCACATTTATTATCAATAGAAGGAGAATTGAAAATGGCCAGATCGTTACAAGTCAACCAGGAGTCTAAATCAAAAAAATATAATGAAACAAAGGACAGTATTGATAATACGATGCATAATAGTAGTGAAATGAACAGTGACAAGGAAATGGAAAACAATATCAACATTAATATAAGTGAAGAAATTAACTGTAATGGTATTGAATCAAACGATAGTACTGATATTATGATACATCATAATGAATCAAATAGGAATATTGATATAAACAGAAGTATAAGTGATAATAGTAAATTAGATTCTTATGGTGACGATGAAGTTAATATTAATTCAGATGAATCTGACATCAATATAATTATGACAGATGAACTAATGGCACAAGAAAATTGGAGAAATAAAGCAGAAAAACCTATTAAGGTGAAAAAAGAGAAAACCAACCGATTCTCAAAATATACAAGTCCGTGTCCAGATATTCGTCGTGTATTAAATATTTCTGGATTACGATCAACTTCATTATCAGTGATACTGAACGGAAATCTTTTACCCGCTGTTAAAGTAAATAAACAAAAAATTCTGATATTTAACACGTGTGCTTTTGATACACTTTTAGTAGCAATATCAGTAAGCTACATTGATAGCAAAAGCTTTATGTTGTTTATCGATAACAATCAAACGAATCCGTTCATAAAACTATGCAGAGATGTAGCTCGTCATGGATCCACAAGCTTAACTTATGAACAACGTGGTAATTTGCTGGTAGAAAGTGGACTTTTTAACATTTCCCCAGTAGAATCTGCAGCAACCTCAATATTGGACGCAAATGTCAATGTTATTGCTTTTTGTAACAAAGTTCTTTCTGATATACCTAGCAGTATACAAACATTAGTATGCACTATTTGTAATAAAAAAAAAGTATGTTATAATTCAACAATAATACTTGATGAATTGTCAAAAATAAATGGATGTTTAAAAGAAATAAATATATTGAAAAAAGAGAAAAATGGTGTCCAAACTGCAAACAAATTAGTAGAAATTCCACAAGAGTACTGCAGGAACATATTTTTTTGGAAACAGATTTTTTGAAGGATAACATGAGTAATGAAAATGGAATATCGGTCAAGGATATACCATCCCAGTTGTCTGTTGGAGATGAAAAGTAAAAAGCTTTATATTTAAAAGAAAACTATTCATATAATGATAATTTATTATATAATAATTATAAATAATTTGTTATTTAGGTTTTCGCTACAATCAATAATTTCATACATTGGAGATTCAAATGTAAAGAACATGGGCCACTACATAGCACATTGCAAACGAACTAAAGGCTATTGGGAAATACATAACGATTTGGTAAAAAAAAAGAACAATATATAAGAGTCCAGAGACAAAATATGTGAAACCACACTTATTATTTTATATAAAAATTTCAGAATAAGTATGTAAGACTCATAAGGGTTTTCTGATTGTATTAACATTTTCTGATATTAATTTTTAAAAGGGCCAGGAAAGCTCTAACAGGTGTATAATTTTTTTTCAAAAATATGTTTAACTAATAATTTTATTAATACAAAGAAATATTTACATAAAATAATAATTATTAAGACCAGTTACCATTATTGTGTGGACGTTTGGTAAAATATTTCATTAAATTAAATGGTTACAAATTGAGTATTATAAGTTACTTTAATATTTTAAACGATTTGATTGAATTGGGTGAATATAAGTCGAGTACAAACTGTAATTTCTTTATTGAATTACTCTCATGGGAAAATCGATCAGTACTCAAAAATTATGAGGTTACAAATTCTAAAAAGTTGGTTACAAATAGTTGAAAATTGAGTTTATTAAGTTACAAATGGTTTTGGACGATTTTGTTGACTTGGGGGGGGGGGCAGCCCCCCTGGGGGAAATCGATCAGTACTCAAAAATGATGAGGTTACAAATTCTAAAAAGTTGGTTACAAATAGTTACATTATTGTCAGTATTGAGCGACAATAAGCGACATTACAATAATGTTCATTTATAAACAAAGAATTAAAAAAAAATAATATTTTTGATATTGAAATCTAAATCTACTAAAAAAAATATTTGGAATACTTTTTGTCAAGTATTCCAAATACTTAGGAATATAATTATCATAAAGTATTCGAATACATACTCTGAATACTTTTTTTTAAGTATTCGGAAAATGTATTTGAAATTCTTTTAAAAAGTATTTTACCCAAGTCTGTACTTTAAGACACGTTTTGTTTTATCAATACAAACCATGTGTACAATAAATAACGATCAACACTTACTTTCCCGCATGGATTCTTTTTAACTGGTGTATGAGGAGAACCAGCATTAGATGTAGATGGTGCATCAGTGTCACTCATTGCAAAAAATTCAAAATAAAGAGCTGTTAAAAATCGTTTCTATAAACACGTGATACGGTCAACGGTTGAGAAACGAGTCACCGAGCTACGAGCTATCAGTCACGGTGGCGGCGTTTTGTACATACTCACACAGCTGTTTTCGCTAGAGGCGCCACCTCCGAAGCCCGACCGACGCACGACGACCCTCGATTACTGTGTTCGTCGAAGAGTGGGAATGCTATGGGTGGGTGACGCGAGAGGATGCGCAGAACGAACCGATTTACGTCGGGCCGCGGCATGCTCTCTCGTTGAACAGAGTATACTTAAAATCATAATGTTCTCTGATCAGAAGTACTTATAAGTTGCATATGTTCTAATTTTGCATTCTGACATAGTTATTATTATTAAGAACTAAGATTATCTGTATTTACTACAAATATACTTGGCCAGATGATTGGGAGAAAAATATTGAAATTATATAATTTTCTATCTTTCATTAAATTTTCCAAACGAGAACAATGACAAATAAAAATGTTGTTTCCCATCTACTATTTTAAGAGTTGAAGAGACTACAAAATGAATTAAGTACGTAAACATATTTTTTTACAGTTAAATTATTTGGTTATATTTATTCTCTTTTAATGTATTAGATAGTAAATACTCAACTACTCAAGTGAATTTCAAAGAAGATTAAAAACAAAGTCTGATAATCTGCAATCCAGAAGAAATCTAATCCCAATATTATACTACACTAAAAATATGTTAAATCAATATAGTACATGGCAATGTTTTTTTTTTTTAATTTTAACAAATATTATACAATTAAGTTAATTTAGCCAACAACATCAATCAATCTATGATACTTAAATGGGTGGTAAAATGTATGTTTCTTTATTAATTAAAAAAATCTATAAAAATCATAAATTACCTGCTCATCTTCATTATTATACATGGTATTATTTAATATTATATTTAAATTACTATTTTGTTATAATATTAGGTAATTAAGTAATAAAAATGTACGACGTAGCGCACGTTTCTAATAGTACTAGACGATATAATTAATAAGGCAATTAGTACATTATAACACGCTAGAGACACTGTAAAAGTATCTCTCTAGGAAAGTCAAACACTCATACGAAGGATACGAGTCGACCAGCATACCAAGTACGAGACCCGGACGCAGTCTCATGACCGAATTTGGCCATTGATACAACCACCCACTCCAAAGGACTCGATCATATAAATACCAGCCCGGGACAAGAGCTCGGCAGACGGTTAGAGATACTCAAGACGTTTGGAGGCAGGTCGTAAAACCACTCACGGTCTTAGTATCAGTTCAGAGTCAGGTCGTAACACCGCTCACAATCTTCACCATAGCTTATATACATTGTAATTTTGTACTTAAATAAACACTCATCATAACCAAGTACATCAGTATTTCATTCCTGCGTTGATGTATATATCGACCTCAGTTGGGACGTAACAGTAGGAATGTTTTAATCCTAATATTTATGTATCATAAAAATATTTGTATTTAAAATTATATTGTATTAATGTTTTGCAACTGAATAGTTCCTTCTGTTTGATTGGTGTTGTTAGCTATTGATTACCACTTACAAAATCTAAGTTAAAATATTATTAGTCCCATATTTAAATTTTACTGTATTTTTTTAATTTATGCGTTATGTTGAGTTTGTTTCAAATACATTTTTTTAAATATTTTACTCTATTTTACTATGAAATTACGAAATAATAATAAAATGTAGGTACAATATTATTTACTATAACACGGAAACGACTGTAATCGGCAAGATAAAATCAGATACTAATCGATTATTAGGAAAAAATAATAAAATGTAGGTATAATAATATTCACTACAACACGACAACGACAAAATGTAATCGGCGAGATAGGTACTAATATTATAGCGTTTTCCACCTGACCGCACTGTCGCACCAAAGTAGCACTGGTACAGTTCACTGATAATCGTTCTAGTGCAGGTTGGTGCAAGTGCAGATGCAACATACAATTTGTTTATCATTTTAAACTAGTGACAGCTGCTGCTGATTATGATAATGTTATGGAAAAACCCGCTCTTCAATTTTTATTATAAACTTATAATTGTTATTTGTTATATTTTCCACGACAATGAAAATCTATTTTGTCATGATATTTTCAATTTTGTGTCTTCAATCGTGGTGTTTGTAAGTATCGACTCTACTCTGTCTGCTACTGCCTTCTCCATTATATTCATTAATTATAAAATGGCAACTTATAATTTAAAAATTGATATTGGTGGTTGTTTGTTGGGCCGTCAAACATTTTTGTTCGACCTGGATGAAGGTGCTTTAGATTATATACAACAAGCTGCTGGTAAGCATATTACATATTATAGTTTACTACGACTTTATAACAGCCTCAAAATACAATTAATTAATTTAGGTACCTATGTCAATGGTGGAAACGGGGTAGTTAGAATTTTTGTTGAACTGAAATATTTATATTATGTTCCCACCAAACTGAAAAAAAAATTGACCACTTTAAATGCACGTGAACTTGGCAAACCAAACCAATAAAAAACTGATTCAAAGTCTTAACAACATACCTACTATATAACTTACAAGTCCAGTAATTACTAAATTATATCTATTTAAATTACTGCTAGTTCGACATCAAGGCAAATTGCTGTTTTACTCTCTCAAATGATGTTACAATTACTTTTATTTAGTTGATGACTTTTTAAGTCTGGTTGATTGAACTAGATGTAGAATAGCATAAACTTGGGAGCCTTAAATGATTAATTTCTTGTTAAGATTTTTAAGTTTTTAAAATTACTATAGGTCTTATTATTTGTTTAATAATTACTATTAATTATGATAGAATATAGGTAATAACTCTGATTTTTTATTTTATCTCTAATATTGGTATAAAATAGTTTGTAAAAAAAAGCTTAAAACTGTTTTATTTTATAAGATCTAATACTTGATTATCATTTAGGTACTAATGATTGTAATCAAAGTATAATAGACTTCCTCACTAACTGTGTGGAACAAAAAGTAATCGAACTCAATGTGGAAGAACTCAAAACGAAGGACGTTGATATTACGGTTTCAATTCCCAAGAGGTAAATTCAATTTATTTTGTGATTTATATTGATCTATTTTTATATAAGATTTTAATTTTTAACACATCCTATTTATCTATTTTACATAACAAAAAAGTACATTCTGCCTCATCTGACCATTAAAGCTTTGTTTAAAACTATGTAGGTATATTATTTTCTTATACATTTTATCATAAACTTTAACAATGCATAGCCCTCTAATCAAAACTCGAGAAGAACAATGTCCCCCAAAATTGCCCAAGTTACACAAATGTATTTTATTATGCCTAGTTGAAATATATTTTTAGTTAATAAAAAATATCAAATATTAACATACTTTATTTAATACTATTTATATTATTCTAGAAATATACAATTTTCAACTTCAGTTCAGTCCATAAATGTGCAAAATGTCAATGAGAATAAAGATGAAAATCATATTATGCAAATACAAAATAATAGCCAAATCAATACTAATCATGTAGAGCCTTTATCAAACGAGAATAATCATAACAGTTCATGGACTGAGGGTATTACAAAGTTTCTGCTAGAAAGATATTCTAAGTGGATGAGCTATGTAGGACCAATGAAGAAATTAAAAAAAAAAAATTGATTTATGGAAACAACTGGCAATTGACATCGATGAGGAATTTGGCATTAGATTTACATATTTACAAGTAGAGAATCGTTACAAAACTGTGTGCAAACGAAAAAAAACTGTTATTGACAATATTAGGAGGACTGGTGCATCGCGTTTACATGACACATATGAAAGCGAATGGGCTTTAATAACCAAAAAGGATGACAGCATTTTGCCTGAAGTATTGCGTAGTGCTAGGAGCGTTGTTATGAACTGTAAAGAAGACTGTTCTGAACATCTGAACCACAAAAAAGAAATTTAAAAGTAAAACGACTGATGTAGACACACTATTGGATTTTCTCAAAATGAAAGAGGTTGAAAAAGAAAGGCGCCATAAAGAAAAAATGGACCTTACAAAAAGTTTATTGAAGTGATTTAATTCTTCATACTATTATACATATATGTACTGTTATACACTTAAATTATACTCTAAGTTTTGTTTTACTAATACGGTGTAAACCGTACATTTGCTATTTATCAAATGTTACTTTATTTATATTGTTATGTATTTTTATTAAAAGATTGGTGGTAAGGGTAACTCATTTTCAAACTTCAAAAAATGCATTAAATCGTGTAACAAAATTCAATAAATTACCATTAATTTTGTATTATTACATTTTATACATTTATTATTATTACATCATTACAAAAAAAAATATTACACTTACACAGTGTAATTAAAAATAAAGTAAACTATTTTTAATGGCATCCCGTTTAGATTCCCCATTTCTTTTAAAAAATGATATCTGTATCAATGGGTGTCACCGGTTTCCGACAAAAATTACCTTTCCGTTTTCCGCCAATACCTTTTTCCGCTAAATCAGAAAAAACGTCATTCCTTTTTCCGCCAATTATAAATTATTGAATTTTAAAGTTTAGGAACCCTTACGTAAAGATTTAATAATTGCACACTATAGAGTTAAAAAATTTTTTCCAGTTATTACTTATAAACTATTATTACTTTTAAACTGAAACATAGTTGAAATAAAATTAAATATAAATAATATAAGTATATCATATTTTAAATATTTTATTTGAACCTTAATATAAAACTAACCTAACCTTAAATATAAATATAATTTTTTTAATACTTATATCTATTATACCTACCTAATAAGTATTATGATAAAATTATATTTTTTGACTTATTTTGTCGGTACACTAATATCATTACTAATATAAAATAAGTAATAACTGGAAAAAATATTATTATTTTTTAACTCTATAGTGTGCAATTATTAAATCTTTACGTAAGGGTTCCTAAATTTTAAAATTCAATAATTTATAATTGGCGGAAAAAGGAATGACGTTTTTTCTGATTTGGCGGAAAAAGGTATTGGCGGAAAACGGAAATGTAATTTTTGGCGGAAACCGGTGACACCCGTATCAATCTGATTCGTTTCAAGCTCTGCTGTTGATGGTAATTCATTGTCCAAATCAATATAATCACCCATATCTATACACATGTTATGCAACACACAGCATGATATAATAAATTTAGTTATTTTATTTACAGAATGGATATCAACCTGAATAAGTTGTCTAAATCAAGATTTAAGAAGACCAAAAGAGTTTTCAATTAAAACTCTTGTTGCACAAAATGTTTTGTTAAAACTTAATTTTGAATCAGTTAAGTTTCCATAATTTTTATATGGCACTAAGAGCCACTCTCTAATACTATACGCTCCATCACCAATAATATGGTACTTTTTTTCACACATAAGAGGAAGCTCTTTACTTATATCTGACAAAGCAAACACTCTGGCATCATGAATTTTTCCTGGTGCCCCGGTAAAAACATCGAGGAATTTTTTGTTGTAGTCACATATCGCTTGAAGTGTAATTGACGGTATATCGTGCCTGTTGGTGTATGTGCTTTTAAGTTTATGAGCTGGAGTACGTATGGGTATTGAAGTCCCATCAATGCATCCAATAACACCAGGCATTCCAGATACCTAATTTAAACAGAAAAATATAAGAATTGCATAATATTTATAAATACGTAACTACCTTTTTAAACTGTTGAGATAAACTAATAACGCCTTCATCAAAATTAATAACTGTAACTGATATATCTACCAAAAAGTCCATGACTCTATTATTTATTCTAAATTGGGTGGTTAAACCAACTCCAAATCGTTCTGATACATCTCGTAAACAACATTTGTTTGCAGCAAACCTAAAATATTTTATTTTAACAATTAATAGTTTATTATTAAAATTTTTTAGTTAATAATTTACCATATAAAAGATAGAATGTGATTTTCTGATGTGACAGATACGTCTAAAGTTTGTGTAGGGAAAAAAACTAGATGCCTTAAATTTATTGACCACAAGGTATACTGTAGATCTCTCAATCCTAAAATGTCTTTTAAACTGAACATATAATAAATATAATAGATATTAATATAGTTAATAGTTAACGATAAGCAGTTCAAATGTATATAATTCTGATATAGTATATTAGGAAGGTGCCAGTGCCACAACAAGCAGTGGCTGGGGATGCTCAGCACCGACAAGGGACCTCAGTTTAGAGAGATATGGGTCTAGTAATTTATAGAATTGTCGTGAATATATTTGAGAGTAGGCAGTAAATAACAAAAGTCAAGACATAAGGTAAAATAAAAAAAATTGAAAATTCTCATTGGCTGTTCTTATTTATAGGGACTATAGACGTCAGAGATTATATTATATTGACTACCATAATGAGTTACATCTTGAGTATATTTTTATTTATTTCAAACTGAAATTCAATGTTTTTGAAACATAATGTGGTTTATCAATTTTTGAAAACCAAAAATCTTAAATTTTAATATTTTGGAACTTTTACAAAGTATTCAAGTACAGATACAGATACTTTTTTTTCAAAAGTAAAACTGACGTAAAATTTGTATAATTTTTTTTAAATGAACGTCCCTTTAGGTGCGTAAAAATAGAAGAAAAATGTATATTTGATTTTAAATACATATACTTTCAAAAAGTACATATTGAAATATTCAGCCCCAGTACTATTTCCAAATGTATTTAGAATACGTATTTGAGTACTTGCTTAAAAATTATTTAATACTTTTTCTTAAATATTTTTACTCAAGTACCTACCTTACAAGACTGGTAAGGTATACATAATATGTTGATATGTATCTAGGTAGTATTTATAATATTTAATAATACCTGTATATCTGTATAGGCATGAACAACGTCAACTATATAATTTTTAATTTTAGGTATTATAGATGCTTTTTTGGATAGTAAATACTTAATGGTTTCTTCATCACCAGAACTTTCACTAGACGACAAGCAATCCATAATAGCCAATATGGTAGGTTTATCCATTATAATTTATATAATAAATAGTTATAATATATTATTATAGCGTAAGCGTATTATTATTTATTTTGTATTCGTTATATCGGCATATCGCTAGTTCAACAATACAAACATTTTGGATAAAATTTGAATAGACAGCCATATCACAATAATGATAACGCACGAGCTCGAGGAGCTCGTGCGATTATCTTTGCACTCAGTGCAAAAAACTGGCTTAGTGCATCGAGGTGAAACATAAAAAAATCCACTCAGTGCATATTTCTTGCCGATGGAACATACAAATATGCACTGGTGCAGTCAGTGCGGAGTGGTGGAAAACGCTATTAGTCCGTGGTAATTTCCAAGTTTTAAGTTATCGGCATAGACAAGAAACGATAAGAGTAGTATAGAAAAGAGAGTTCAGAAGGCACATCCCCTCATCCTTGCTCATCCCTCGCCCTCCTTGCTCATCCTTGCTCATCCCATGATCCCCACCCCACCTCACCACCCAAACCCCCTGATCCTTGCTGGCCCGCCGCCCGACTCGTCACGTGTGTGACGTATATTTTACCCCACCCCGTCCTTGCTCATCTTTGCTCGTCCTCATCATGCCGCCGCCGCCGCCTGATCGGTCACTTGACAGACGTAATGTACAGCGCATACGTACAACACATAGTCTCTTATCTAACAGTCGTATGAATTATATTGTACACACCATATTATTGTGTATATTATCGTGCATATTATTGTAAACTTTCTTTCATTAAATAAATAATGAAAAAAATATTAGCGAGATTCGAACCCTCGACTCCAGAGCTATAGCACTGACGCTTTAACCCACTAGGCCACAGACCTGTTATACTTTTAGTATCATTCTTAATGTATATAGCTGTATGAATATTATTATTATTATCCCCGTCACTGTTCACATATTTCCGCGCATGCGCATATATTATATAAATTTTTCAAAAAATAAACACATTTAAGAATAATATACTTATACAATTACAATCTTCAGGAATAAAACGTCTTGTGTGTTCCGACATACCCTATCTATTCTTCAACAAGGGTCGAGACTACACCCCTTTGTATATTTTATACAGGCAACGACGTGTGTGTTCCGACATACCCTAACTATTCTTCAACAAGGGTCGAGACTACACCCCTTTGTATATTTTATACAGGCAACGACGTGCGTGTCCCGACATACCCTAGTTATTGTTAACAATGACATTCTTCAACAAGGGTCGAGACTACACCCATTTGTATATTTTTAACCTTAAATTTCTGTCACCATAACGTTCTATAGCGAGACATGTGTTGGACATACCCTATCTATTGTTAACATTCTTCAACAACACTATACATGTATACCCCTTTGTATATTTTAAGCCTTGACCACCTGCACCTTTTACGGCAGGTGTTGTTATTCTGTTGTCGTTGAGGAATTTACCCCTACCTAATAATGTTTCCCCCACCGAATAATGACTAAAATCATCAGACGCTTGACCCTGCAAGAGCGGACATTCATTCAGTGTGTTCAGAGTCTTATGCTATACTACACGTACATTTTTATTTCTTGTGAGTGTTTTTATTTTTTCAAGTCTTAATAAATTTTCAGTGTTTATTTTTATAAGTTTTTAACATGGCCGGTTCAATCGCAGATA